AAAAAAAAAAAAGAAAAGGTTGTACCGTGGTCTTTGAATTATATGTCTAATTCTATGTGGTTTTGTCCTTTTTCTTTCCTTAAATATGATGTGAAATAAAAGCGCCATATGTAGAATTATTATATCTTCAGGACTATTTCACTAGATAAGCGTTTGAAATAGAAAAATAATAATAATAATAATATTAACATTAAATAATGAACAAAGTTCCCTCTTTTAAATATTTACAGGTTAGCAGCTAAAATACCTGAAATAAAATATTGCATGCAAAGCCGGTCGTTAGTGAATAAAATGAGTGTGATATTTTATTGCAAGTATTAACGACCAGCTTGTAAATTTCCGTTTCAACAACTGTATCAGGGCTAGTTGGATGCCTTAGCTTTCAATCGATAACGTTAGAAAGTCTCTTGTTCCCCCACCCCATCCCTTGCCCTTAAAAATGATATTACTCTAGGCATGATCAGACATAACGTTAAGACATCTAAAGAACTGAGAACTCAGGCTTTTCGCCGAGTTCTACTATTTTTAAAAAAATAATAAAAAGAAAGTGCTGTATACCAAAGCCTCGTTGTTGAGATTGTTGAAGTGACCTGTACTTTAAGTATAAGCTCCTGATAAAAGGGACGCTTTTTGCTTAACAAGTCAAGTATGACCATTATTTATCAATGTCTGCTGTCAAAACAATTGAATAATGCTGCAGGAGGAATAGTTGTGGGGATATTTCTGTCGGGGATATTGCTGTGAAATTGCACGAATATGTTCCTTATTTTCTGTCGACTTTCCTCTCTTCACTCCCTCTTTTCTTCCTTTTTAATTTGCGGGGGAGAGGGTGGTGAAAGCTAGAAACGTGGGCGATTTCTCGGGGAAAAGTAGAAAGCAGTAAATTTAAAAAAATTGGGAAAGGGTTGTTTTTGCTCCAATACAAGTGCTCCCTAGTGCTCCCGGGCAGCACCAGACAAAGGTTCGCTTTAAAACACCCTTAAGGACTGGAATATACAGAGATTTTTGGTTTGACAAAGACAAGTTGGTTTGCATGTCACTTACTCCAAACCCCAATGTTTTCTTAACATAACCTTCTTTTCCCTCCCTCCTCACCATCTCAGCCCACCCTGAGCAAGCTCAGCTATAGACAAACCATTTCGACAGTACAGAGAACATTAAAAAATGTTTAAAATCTAATACAAGGATTTCAATCATCCTGATTAGAAACTGGATTCATTTTGTATGCTCAAGTGTAATACATTTTTGAGTACTTGATAAATATTTAAATAAATATGAAATCTACCTTAAACTGTGTGATCAGTAACCCTTGTGTTTTCATGCAGGATCAGAGGATTGGTACGGCGCTTCGGGGGGCGGGAGGGAGAAGGGGTATCATTTCTACCCGGTGGTCTGACGTGTAAGATCTCGGAGTCGCTCTTACTTGGGTGAGTTTGGAGACGGAGTCTCCGACTCGGGAGGGTCTGTAATTGCGCTGGAAACCTGCAAAGGCAGGGCAAACTAGGGGCCTTTGCGTTCGCCTCTCACTGCCGGGAGGCTGAGCGTGGGYGGCAGGAGCGGCGGCTCCGCGGAGAGGCGCGGGGTGTCGCAGGGAGGTGTGCCCCGAGAGAGGGTAACCTACGCCCCGTGGGGCTGGTGTCCCCTCTGTACCCCCGCTCCCGGGAAGGACCTGCGGCCGGGAGAATGTCTGCCTGCTCTCAGGGCCACGCAG